TCATGATCATAAGGTTGACACACACACACACACACACACACACACACACACACACACACACACACACACACACAACCATACCTGTGTCCACATATGGCCACATACCGTTTATCGTAAATGGCAGTCAGTAGAGGATGGTCAACAGCAGAGGGCGCTGCAGGCACAATGTGTTGGAGGGAAACACCTGCCTTACAGAGTAGGCTGTACAGTAGCCTATATTAATCAGAAACAGCACATATATTTATAGAAGTATGCAGGAAACAAAAATATAAAGCAGCTGGCTTTTAAACTGAGTTGAATATTTTAGTAAGTGCCTTTAATCGAGTTATCTCCCCATTTACTTGGATCATTACAACGCGACTGACTGTGATTTCCATTAAATCCACTGGATTAACGACACAAAGCAAGTGAATGCTGTCATCTCACTTTACCCAAAACGTTAAATCAACTGTATTGTGATGCATGTTGCACAATCCTAAATGGGGTCAAATGACAAGACAGGGCAAGTGAGGTTCCCAAACACCACCATATATCATACAACTCTGACATGTGGCATGTCACCGAGGTTCCTTGAGGTCGTCTTTCCACATAGGTTAAGCTTCCCCACATTCCTCCTCCTACAGACAGACATACCAATCGCCTAAAAAATGATAGACGGCTTCAGAGGAGCGTGGTGACAAGTGTCCCGTTACCGCAGCAAACCCCACAAATGTACTCACATCTGTATGGAAACACTTCCTCGCGGGGGCGTCGTACACAGGGTTATTTCAGACCATTGTTATCACAGATATCATATATGTTACCACAGATATCATTGAAAATAATCTCATACTTTATAAAGATAAATATGAGATTATTTTCAATGATATCTGTGAATGATAGCATATGGAAACTAGTGGGCCAAAACCTTTTGCAGTTCATTTATAAAAGGAGAATGATCATTTCTCTTCTTTTTACTTATTTCTTCTTTTTCAGTGTTATGAGACATTTGAAAAACATAATCAATAACATTTCTTGACAACAATATTTCTAACAATATTTAATTTCATTAAATAGTATGAGTTGAATGCCAGACATTCTTTTTAAAGTACATGTGTCTACATGCAGAGGCCTAGCACTGACTTTTCAACATGCTTTTAAATGTAATAATCATGACTTGATCAATGCACAAATATCTTAATATAAATATGTAAATTGTTAACCATAATGCCTTAATTTTCCCTTAAATTACAGCATTAGGGGGCTGTTAGGGAACCCCTTTAATGTACTGCTTCCATACACATTCCACCTTAATTTCAATATAAAAGTTAAAAGGGGAATTCAAATATATATAGCATCTTGTGTCATATTAAATGTCAATGTGTACACATTTAAAAATCATTTAATAAAGTATTAATCTACACCTCTTGTTTAAAATCCCAGTCAGAACATGCGCTGTGCCATATTTCATTTCTGCAACAAGGTGGTGATAATCTACTGAACCTGGGGTCAAAGGTCAACAGGAAAACAAGGGGGAGTCTGAAAGCTATGACAGGCTCTGGATGTCTGGATAAATAAATCCCTGTCTGATCCTTATTACTGCAGGCGTGGAAACCAGTAAAAAAATTGAGTCATGACTCGTGAAAGAGCATCAGTGGAAACAAAGGCAACTGAGAATGGGTGGGGGAAATATTTCTCCATTAGAGAAGATTAGAAAAGTGTTTAACGAAATAAAAAGAGATTATCTGTGAGGGAAATTTGGATATTAAACCTTCGGCAAAACAACCGGAAAGCTGTTCTTGGGGCCCGTGCATTGGCAGACTGTCAAGTTTATTTAGCTATTCTGGTCGCACTCAGCTGTCCCTTTTATGCTATTCTGGGAATGTCTGCTGCCATCACCCTGCCAAGTAATCCCTGTATAATTTACGGGGGAGAAATGGTGGGTACACACAAGAGAGGGGGGGCCGGGGGGTAAACAGGTGGGAAAGTGATCATAACTGAGGCCAATCACCAAACACACACCTTCATAGTGATGAAAACCCGGACTGCAGCCAGAGGAAAATGGTGCCTTTAATTGGTTGGCATGTTGTTGTTCATTTAACGCTGGCAGCAAAAACTCATCCTGTCCTCGAGGAAAAAACGATTAAACTATGGTAAAAATAAAATGTATTCCTATTTTTATTTCTATTTCTTTCTTTAAGACCAGACATACTAAGTTGTTGCCAGAAAACCACACCATGGTGCAAGTAAAGAGTGAATCAGGTAACATTGAGAATATTTTAAAGACAATCATACATAAAGACTTGCATAAAAACATTGATTGCAAGAAGTGGTTGAACCAAGATAGATGAAACTAAATATACAATAATATTACGTTTACAAAAAAGACGAAAAAAAACAATCAATGATCAATCAGTCAAATAAGATGCTTCAACTTTTGAACCACTTCTGCCCACAGTAAATGTATGTTAACGTCACCATTTCTTGTGTCTTTGTATTTTTCTATATTTTTCTACTTTGTACTACCTGATAGTGTTTGACTTGGTCTTAGTCTATGGTATATCATGTAAGTTAATCACAAAAAAATATTATGTTAATGTCAATGATGTCAAAGATAATGATGATGATGATAAATAGTATTGTTAATCCATTACATTTAGTTTAAACTTTCAATTGTAACTTAAAATATAACCTTAAAAAGTGAAGTGGATATGAATTTTACCGATTTGACAGTTTCATTTGACATAGTTTGAGTAGTCACAACTAAAATTGTATCATTTTCTATTTTTGTATACTTTATTGTCCTTAATTAGATTAACAAACCATCTCAATACTCCCAATTCATCAAAACAAGTCAAACTAGTACATTTGAAAAAGCAATGAGGGATAAAACAAATACATCAAGATGTGTCCTTAGGGAAGTGAAGCCTGGTAAGCATGATTGCATGTTGAGAGTATGTAATACAAACCTATGGATTACATTCAGTGTGGGCATGCATATCTAAAAATATATTATTATTTTATATCTTACACCAGTTAAATGTGTAATATTGCCTTGTGCAGTGTTTCAAATACAAACAGGATAAATATATTCTCCCATTATGTTTGTTGTGTGAAAATATATTTTGATGAGATGATATCTAAGAGATGAGTTAGAGAGAGATCCTTTAATAGTACATACTTGATGTTACTACAGGGCCCCTCCCATCACCTTGGATGGGAAAATCTCAAATTGGACATTAGCATAATTAAAATTAGCAAACGGATCTTTGCACATAGTAGAAGCTGCATCGGTTAAATCACATTCTGTAATATAGCCATGAACATCACGAACCAAAAATAAAGTCAGTGATTGGCCTCTCTGCAGGCTGATGGAGGTGGACAGAGCGGGTGGGGAGACAGTGTCCAGTGGTCAAACAAGCATCTATGTCCCGAATGTCCTTATTAGTCCAAGTGGGACTGCAAACCTACAGCATGGTCCCTCAGATATCAGGTTTACTTAATTCCAAGACTCCTGTGTCTATTTCTGATCTCCTGTAAGGTGATACACCGCCCCGCCATTCTGTCTCAATCACTTTTGCCATCAGTTCATCCCTGACCATCCTCGCTCTCCCTTCATCTCTCTCTCTCTTTTCTGTCCCCATCCAAACTTGAGGCTGTGGCTAAAGTTAGATTGGCCAGCAGAGGGGTATATAAGCCCCCGGTGATGTTTGTATGATGCGGCTTCACACAACCTTCTCCTTCTTCATCAGCCAAACCTCCACTCACACCGTCTAAAGATGGTGAGTACCAGGTCTCTCCACATCTCTGCACTCCTCTGGTGGAAATATCAAAACCAACCCTGTGGATTAACTCTGATTTTGATGGGTTTTTTTTGTAGGAGTTTAAAATAATCATTACAAAAAAGATGGGAGTATTACCAGCAATCTTTTAAGATGAAATCATTTTGGACAATCTTTTTTGGATTTTTGGATAATTCAAGCAGTTGGCGATGCAGTTGAAAGGATGTTTGGGTTCTGATGTGTCGTTAAATTCTAGTTTTGCATAATGCATGCAACCAAATGCATCTCATATTGGTAATCTGATGTTAACTAACCTGAGGATTGCACATTAACTTGTGCCGGCTGCAAAAGCAGTACCTCCCAAACTGGGGGTTAAGACCTCTCCATGGTTAACAAGCTCGATCTGAGGGTTCAGTGATGTGGACATGAAGAAGGAAAATATTAATTTGCAAGACAAAACTAATTTCTCTTATCCTTGTTCTTTGAAGTTCAATCCTTTTGGGCATCAAACAATTATTCAAATGTAACAATGAAAATTAAAGAAGTTCATTGGAGACAAACTCTCTTTTTGGTGGATATCTGCAGGTATCGCTTAATGCTAAGGGGTAGCATTACTGTGAGTTTGCCTTAAAATATAACTGACTTTCTTGACGATGTTCTCATGTGTTTATCCTCCAGGCACCAAAGAAGGCAAAGAGGAGGCAGGCAGCAGGAGACAGCGGTTCTTCCAATGTGTTCTCCATGTTTGAGCAGAGCCAGATTCAGGAGTACAAAGAGGTAAAGTTTTTCCGGCAACACAGCAATACTCTCCATATTCTACTGTATCAGCATCATTCATGGCAGGCATTCGAGACTTCTGTGTAACTTCTAATTCATTGAAAGTTAGATGTTTAGAGACTCAGATTCTGAATTAAAGTTACGTTTGTTTCAGTCGGTTACCAAAATACATTACGATGTATACAGTTGGATTATGCAGCTCTTGTATCCATTTCCACAGCAGTTGCTATTTTGCTGCTCCCCCTCATCTCCCCTGACCATTTAATAAGCTTGAGAATGTCATTAGGAGGAGCTTGGACATTTCTGTCGCCATCTGAAGCTCTCTACACTGTGTTCACCGTTGACCCACCGCCCAGCTGTCACTCAGACATCTTCTTAAGGCTGAGGCCAGGCAGAACAACTGGATCTCATTACACACATTGTAGTGTAGAACAGATCATGTGAAGGAAAAAGCACATGTGATTTGCTGAGCAGAGAAAGAAAAAGGAGATAGTGTGAGGCGTCAAGGTTGTGTGTTGAAATTCAGTAAGGTCAGGGAGATGGGATTTTATTTAGGATGCGTTGCCAAGAGACAGGATAATGATGGTGCTAGTGCTTTTAATGCATGGTCAAAGCATATGTGCTGTGAGTAGAGGAAACATGCCTCTTGTGATAAGGGATATGGGCTCCTTGAGTGGCACTTTGGGAATGTTTGACATGATCATTAGGGAGATCTTAGCACGTCGCATAGATGTAAAGATAGCAGCCGGGGGGAAATGCGTTTTGTATCTGTCTGTGTGTGTGTGTGGTGAGTATGTGTATGTGTGTGTGTGTGTGTGTGAGAGAGAGAGAAATAGGAAGGCAGGGGGTGAGTTCAAGATTAGGCGGTTATCTTAAATTTCATGGACGTAAGTTGCCTAGGGTGAGGAGATCCGACAGCTGTTCCCTAATGATACTTTCCTAATTTAACAGCCCTTCCTCACACCCCTCGCAAGGCAACTACAGTTACATCTGACTTTTCGGGTGCAGCCTTTTTCTTGCACAATATCCTCTAACAACATTAGTAAAGATACTCACCAGCTGCCTATTTAAGGTGATGACAGAGGCCTCCCTAAAGGGTAACATGGTATCATACTGTCCATCAGCGCAGTCACAACTGTCACAAATGCTTCCTTCAGGAAAAAAACCGAAGTCTTCTTGTTTCCTTTTTAGGCGTTCACAATCATTGACCAGAACAGAGACGGTATCATCAGCAAAGATGATTTGAGGGACGTTTTGGCCTCAATGGGTGAGTGCCGCTGTGAAAGATCTTCTGTGGAAAATCATGAGTGACTTTGGCCTCCTGTACTAATCCGACATTTTGGGGGCTTTTTAGGTCAGATGAACACCAAACCTGAGGAGCTGGACGCCATGATCAAGGAGGCCAGCGGCCCCATCAATTTCACCGTCTTCCTCACCATGTTCGGAGAGAAGCTGAAGGGTGGGCGTCTAATTTGAATCAACTGTCTCTCCCACATTGTTTGGTGTTTTGTTTTGCAATTCATTAATGATAGTAATCCAATAATATACAAATATGTCACCTTGGGCTGTTCTGTGCAATAAGTATTGTTATTACTCACAGATCTATACTTTCACTTCTGAAGGAGTTTTACTGATAAAGGCATAACAAATATTTTGTATTGCTACATTAACCAAGTTTTGAATACTTCGTCCATGGCTGTCAGTCTTTGCAAAGGTTAACCGGCCTCTCTCTCTCTTGTCCTCACTAGGTGCTGACCCCGAGGACGTTATTATCACTGCCTTCAAGGTTCTGGACCCCGAGGGTACCGGAAGCATTAAGAAGGAATTGTGAGCATTTTCTTTGTAAATAATTGTAATGTTCACCATGCATGTCCAAATAGGATCAATTCAAATGTTGACTCCCATAATCTGTTTCACCCACTCCAGCCTTGAGGAGCTCCTGACCACCCAGTGCGACAGGTTCACCAAGGATGAGGTAAAATCACAATACAGATACAGTATCTTATTACATAGATATAATGTTAGGTTTTCCATCTCATTTCCTCTATGCTGTAGTACTGGTCATCAGTTTTGATTGTTTTTGATTGTTTGTGTATTGGCAATGGAGATATCTAACTTCTCTCAGATGGCCCTTGTGTTGCTTAAATTGTAAAAATAAATAGATTCTATACAAATTAAGTATGATTTTTGTACAAAAGTTTATTAGTTGTCCAATCGCTAAAGTTTCACCTCAGCTAACAATTTTAAGTATGATTCCTTGTGAGTGTGACTTTTTTTCTTTTATGTTTAAAAGTCAGTGCCGGTTGAACAATTGACCAAAAACATGTCAAAATATCAGTAAGATAGTACATATTTTTGCCATGCTGACTTTCCAACCCTCATTTTCTCCCTCAGATTAAGAACATGTGGTCCGCCTTCCCCCCAGATGTTGCTGGCAACGTAGACTACAAGAATATCTGCTATGTCATCACACACGGAGAGGAGAAGGAGGAGTAAATAGAACGCAAGAAGCCCAAGAAAATACAGCAATCCCTATGCTATTCTGCCTCCCTTTCCTCCTAACCATCCCTTTGTGTTAACCCATGTGCTCAGCCGCTCAAGACTTGTCACACTGACACATGAGAGTGCTGACGCACATGGGGTGTCTGTGTCTGCTTATGGGGAAAGGGGGTGATTTCCAATAAAAGATTATTCTTTAACATCATTTCCATCCACAAGCTTTTCTCAATAATCTTTCCTTGCAACCATCTTCTGTCTTCTCACCTCCACATCTCTGTCTGCCCCGTCACTTCTGCCTCTGAGGTGTTTGTGGTAATAAGATGTGTCCCTATCCTTCCTGCAGTATCTGTGAAGAAGACAGGCTTACTACTGGGATAAGGCACACACTAAATATGGGGACCTCATTCCAAATTTTGAAGATGTCCTCTGGGGTGGAAAAGGTGAGAAGAGGGAGAACATAAGCAGTTTAGGAAGGGGGAAAAGTTGCGTCCTTAAAGTGACAACAACTTTTTCCTTGGAAAGTGAAAAAAATAAAAAAATAGAAAAACATAAGACTGAAGTAGAGGAGGAAAAGGGTTGAAAGAAAACATAACCGTCTTCAATTACTTTACCTCCGCTACTTCCTGCAACTATTAAATCCCCTTTATTTCCCCCATAAGCTGACCTCTTCCTAGCCTTTCCTCTGTAATGAATAAAAGGGTCAAACTGTGAATAAAATCTCTATTCTTTTGTACAATAGTGTGTCTGTTCAGTAAATGTGGAGTAAAAGTGACCTCTAGCTTTACATCTGCATGTATAAATAGAAGTAGAAAGTTCAATCTAATCCCAACAGATCAACACCATGTTCCTTTATGCACTGACAGCAAATAACTAATACCAAACCACTTTTATAGCAGTGTCCATTGATGGGCACTGGATACAAATAAATGATATATACAACACAAGCCAAAGAAATATATCCAAGTATAGCTTTATTGATTTATCACAACTATTACTAATTCATCACTAAAACGGATCCTCCGAATTTGAAACTTCAAGAAAGACCAAAAACACCATGATGATTTAATATATTATGGTTTATTACTCATCACAAATGTCATTATCATCATCAATTAAATACATCAGTTGTAGATCTGAAGGAATGAATTCAATTAGCTATGATTTTATCTCACTTCCGCCACAGAGTGACCATGTAAACTTAAAAACACAAAAGACAGAACGGCATGGGGAGAAAAAACTGCTGTAACGCTTTCTTAAAATATTTTCATCAGTTTGGGTCGTCATTCCTAATCAACAATCAAGAATGACGATTTCATGATCAAAGCAGAAATGTATGAGGACCTGATAGAAATGTATTTCTTGGTTCGTCATTCATATTGCAGCGCTAAGTGCTGATTTCCACGAGTTAGCGATTCATTGGATCATCACGGCATCTCGAGCCCTCTGAAACAGTTTTCATCAAAACATGAGCTGCGATGACGTATTGCTCAGAAAATATTGAAGTCCATGAGCATGAAAATGTGCTCAGAAATACCTACCGAGACATAATTCATGTTTCCCCATGGCACCAAACTGATCATCCGGATCAGAGGCGAAGTCAGTGCTGCTGTCACACACACACACACACACACCATCAGCCTCATGACGGAGCGTGGTTTGCATAGATGTGTTCAGGTTATCCTCACTAACACTACACTAATCTATAATGCACTGGCATCAAAACATAAGAGGGGGACTGTGTTCTAATTATATATTTCAATGACAGCCATGTGAAGACCTGAAATAAGTGAAAAACAATGAATATGCAGGACAAGTTGGCTACAATTACACAAAGGTCCCTCTAATCCTTAACTACAAAAACAGTACAGTTAAAGAGCATCAATGTTTTTTGCCATCAAATGGTTTTTACACTCACTACCTGACACTATTCACCGTATACTGATAGGGGTCAGTGCAGTTTAATGTATGCATAAATATGTTACAGCACAGAACACTGAGTGTAAATAGGTTAGGGAGTTAGCCCATAAGTTATCATGAATGTTACAACACAATTTGGTGAGAAAGACACACTTAAGATCTCCAATTAAAGAACTATTCAAAGCTCATACATCACCTCTTAGTAAATTATACAGTACGATTAAGACCTTCAACTCCCAAAGAATCTGCGTGAATAACTCCTCTTACCGTTTGTTCAGTCTGAGGCCCATTTTCCACTCAAGTCTTTTTAATACTACACTTCAGTAAACAGGAGACTCGTGAACCTTCAGTTGACCAAACCAAGTGACGGTAAACTTAAATAATCGCAAAGACATGCATCGAGTTTGTTGTATGAAAGCAGAGGACTTAGCGTGCAAAAAAAGGGAAATCAAAATAATCAAACACTTAAATGATCCCCTGCAAATAGAAGTGTAGTCGGGCATCTTTCCAGTCAACCAGGTGTTTCTTACTCACATAGAAAAATAGTCAGATCAAAAATAATAATAATAATAATTCATAATATACTATTTGATTAAATTAACCACTTTGTACATAAATACATAAGAGCCCGAAGGTCAAAGGTCAGAGGTTCATGCTACATTGGCACACCTGGCACCTCCAGTCCAGTGGCTTCCTATATCGAGGCGCAGTTTCTAACTCTGAAACCGCCCCGGAGACTTCTACTAACGGAGTGGTCGACTTCAGTGGTACTTTGTGACAAAATCACAAGTGCAAAAATCTCCTTCATTCTTTAAGATACTTGAAATCACATTCTAATGGGTTAGTGAACTTAAGTTCCCACCCATGCTGACATTTGGCTAGATGAAATATGTAGGACTTTGTTCGTCAAAAGCAGAGATAATACTAATTTTGATGGACATGTACTCTGCAGGACTCGTGCATGGTCGCTGCTGGGTATTGAATGTTGTCACGCAACCAGTTTATCAATAAAGTTGCGTCCCGCTTTTCTTGCAGAAAACTACCTAGGACACAAGAAAATGTTATTGAAATAAAAGAAATGAAATGCTCCCTATGTGTACTTTTGTCAGAGACAAAACACACACAAATCACTAAAAAACACCATGTCAAGGTGTTTGGTTGTATTCTTAATTTCTCCCTCTTCTTTCTCTCCATTTCCTCCTTCTACTGTAAGAAGAATTTGGGGGGGGACCAATCAGGAATGAGTGGTCTTCAGAGAAAAGAAGCAGCTAGAGAGAGATTGAAAACCGGGAAGCCACACACAGAACAGTAACACACACACACACACACACACACACACACACACACACACACACACACACACACACACACACACACACACACACACACACACAACAACATTACTAGCATTTCTGCCTTCAGTGCCGGTTTGTGACCAATGGTTTTCTTTTTGTCACATCCAGAAAACCTGTCTACAGGTGAGACATGGGGGGCATGTGGGCTGCTAACAGGATCCTATGTACTGTAGGTAAACTTATTATTTACATACTCTATGGCACCAAAACCATTTCAGCAATCCTTCAACAATCCATCGAGTCCATTTTTATCCAACCACTGCCACCTATCTGACTAAAAGAATAAAAACGACAAAGAATACAAAACTCAAAGAGATAAAAGACTTATCTGGGTTTCAGTCCATGCTCCAGTTGAAAAAGGAAATGTGTCCCCTCGTACTAAAACTTGGTGAAACAAGAGAAGCATTGAGCGAGGGTCCAGAAACCCCTGAGGTGCTTTTAAAACCATGATCCAGTTTTCCCGCCACAGTCCTGGGACTACATGAAGTCTTTGAAATGATGCGTTTAACAGGAAGACATCCCATTTTTTTTTTGTATGAATCACTCTTTCTGTTTCCGGGGGTCTTTGTTCATCCGACCTGTTTATTTGTTTAGCGTCTCTTTTCATTATCCAAGAATGACGGGGCGGAAAACTAGGCCTCTCTTGCTGCTGCGCCTCCATTTCTGTCCTCAGCCTCTCCTCCCCCTTTGTCTTTTTTCTTCCCCCCTTTCTTCTTCTCTTTTTCTAGCCTCTCTTTCTCCTTCCTCAACCTCTCTTTGTCAGCCTTTTCCTTTTCCTTCCTTTCCTTCATTTTTTTCTTGTCGTCTTCTTTTTCCTTCTTCTTGTCATCTTTGCTCTTCCTCTTCTTCTTGACCTCTTCCTCTCCAGTCGTGGCATCAGACGCTGGCGACGCCTCCTTGTTTGAGTCTTGAATGAGCGTCAGAGTGGAGTTGTTAGCAGTGGGAGAGGGGAGAGTAGGAGTGATTTGCTCAGAGACGATCTTAGGGGCGGGGGATAGAGTGTTGGGGGGTGGTGCTGTGCTTTGTGTCGGGGCTGAAGCAGCATGCTGCTCGTGTGCTGGGGGGTCTTCTGGGGTCTGTGATGAGCCTTCTGCCCCCCTCACTAAGGGGCTCCGGACTTGGGGTGCCGGAGCCTTCTGACCGGCCCCTGGAGGAATAGGTGGTTTGTGGCTGGGGCCTCGCTCAGGGCTCGATGTTACTACAGGTCGAGAGTCCACTCCCGACGGCCCCGAGAAGGAGCCCTTCTTGGCTTGGGAGTGAAAAGGAGCCTTGGACCTGCGGAAGCCCGGGAGAGAGAGGAGGCTGGAGGAGGCCCTGAGGGGGCCCGGGGGGGGGATCTGGCTCCCCAGGAAAGAGAAGCTGCCCCCCGAGCTAATGGAGGCGGCGCGGCGTTTGTGCTCGTAGAGGGCTCTCGTACCGTGGAGGCGGCGGGCCGGCTGGTGGGTCAGCTCCCCCCTCGACTCCCTCCACTTCCTCACCTGGATGTTGCTCTCCCTCTCTATGAGCGACTCCGTCACCGGGAGGATTATAATCTGGTTAGAACAGACAAGAAGAGACCAAGGTTACTGTAAATAAATCTGAATCTAAAACGGAAATAAGCAGTGAAAATATTGTTAGTAACCTAAAACTAAATAAAATTAATTTAAAAAAGAAGAAAATATTGCCAGGTTTAAAACTAAATATACTCTTATTAAAATAACCTGACATCTACAGTTGTAGAAATATATATGTATATAAAGCTACATACTAAGACATCATACCTGGCTTTAACAAAAACAAACTAAATACATAACAACTCAAATGTAACATTCCTAAAAAGTGGAAACCAAACTAAAACTAGATGCTGAAAACCAAATTAAACTAAACCAAAATAAAATGTAAAAGCTATTTTAACCTTGGACGAGACAGACAGGGGAAGATATAAATACTCGACTGGGTACTACAGGACATAGTGACTCACAACTCGTGTTTCTGAGTAAAAACAGACGCCCGTTTCTCTTCATAGTCTGTGAGGCTGAAAGAAAGAGACCCACCTCCTGTACCAATATCTCCTCTCTGATGGCGTCAGGTGCGATGTTTCTGAGACGCTCCATCGTTTCATACATGCCCTGTAGTTCTCGAAGTTTATCCACAGAGCCCAGCATCTGTTTCAGCAGAACCAAGCCCACACGAAACACTATCTTCACCCCTACAAACAGAGATGTATGTCAGGATTTGGTCAAACTACAGAGCAAAAATGCAGTGAAAGAAGCCGAGTTACACAAGCAGGGTTTCTATTTATTTACATTTCACATAAAAAACAAATGCACTCTAATCAATGTATAGCCATTTGATTCTATTACTCAAATGTAACAACGTAAACTAAGACAGGAAGTAGCATAAGTTCTAGCCTACAGTCTGTATGGATATGAATAGTACCTTCACAGAAGAACATATCCCACACACGCAGTACACTGGCCCATGGTAAGGTGCGGGAGAAGATGCACATGAACCACTCAGTCATGTAGAGAATCGGGTCGATCTTGAACTTCTTGAGATGACGGTACGCCATCGGACACGTACGTCTCAACAGGGAGAAGAAGATCTCACCATCCAGCTGAATCGCTTCCTAAAAACACAGGAGCTGATAAGTCAGTAAAGCTGAGAGAGATGACACAAAGTGCTGACAGAGGGTTCAGATCATCTCTCACCAGTCCAGCGCTGTAGTAGCCAGGGAGGTACTTCTCACATATCTGGACCAGGCACCAAAAAGCTTGCTGTTAACAGAAACAAAAGTAAAAGTAGTTAATTATTCATAAATAGGTATACAAATGTTTTGGGTGAAAAGGTAGTCATCACTATATTTACATTTACATTGAGAAACATGCTGCGTTAACAACTTTTTACAGAGGAGTACAGATGGCAGATAGAGAGCTTGAATCACATGGTGCAATGACCTGAAGCTCAATATCAGCTGGAACAGTGAAGTTAACCTTCTGGGTAGAAAATATAATATAGTCACTTCATTGTTTGACCTGTGTGTTAGATTGTCATAATAAGCATCTTCATTTTTGAGTTATAGCAAAAAACATCACCATCTACAGTGGGGCAAAAAAGTATTTAGTCAGCCACCAATTGTGCAAGTTCTCCCACTTAAAAAGATGAGAGAGGCCTGTAATTTTCATCCTGTATACCTCAACTATGAGAGACAACATGAGAAAAAAAATCCAGAAAATCACATTGTCTGATTTTTAAAGAATTTATTTGCAAATTATGGTGGAAAATAAGTATTTGGTCAACTACAAACAAACAAGATTTCTGGCTCTCACAGACCTGTAACTTCTTCTTTAAGAGCCTCCTCTGTCCTCCACTTATTAACTGTATTAATGGCACCTGTTTGAACTCGTTATCAGTATAAAAGACACCTGTCCACAACCTCAAACAGTCACACTCCAAACTCCACTATGGCCAAGACCAAAGAGCTGTCAAAGGACACCAGAAACAAAATTGTAGACCTGCACCAGGCTGGGAAGACTGAATCTGCAATAGGTAAGCAGCTTGGTGTGAAGAAATCAACTTTGGGAGCAATTATTAGAAAATGGAAGACATACAAGACCACTGATAATCTCCCTCGATCTGGGGCTCCACGCAAGATCTCACCCCGTGGGGTCAAAATGATCACAAGAACGGTGAGCAAAAATCCTAGAACCACACGGGGGGACCTAGTCAATGACCTGCAGAGAGCTGGGACCAACGTAACAAAGGCTACCATCAGTAACACACTACGCCGCCAGGGACTCAAATCCTGCAGTGCCAGACGTGTCCCCCTGCTTAAAGCCAGTACATGTCCAGGCCCGTCTGAAGTTTGCTAGAGAGCATTTAGATGATCCAGAAGAGGGCGTGTCTCGCAACGCCTACGGCAAGATAGCTGGTAACCCTGCGGCAATAGCAGCGTCAACGAAATTACATTATTAGCGGCAAGGCACACCGGGCTCTGCTAGATATGACTCTAATTTTCATTGCATTTGCTGAGCAAAAGCGAAGGAGGCAACCGCCCCGACTCTCCCACTCGTCTATCAGTGTCTTTTGTCTTGTTTTAGCTAGATGAGAGACGGTGAGGAAAGGACATTTATGTCCAGTCCGGTATGTCAATTACGAGCGTAGTCCTACCACGATGTCCCGGCATTCCGAACGTGAATCTTTGTGTTATTCGTACATTTACAATTAATTAATGTCGAGGCGCTAGGTGATCGTGGTGTGTGTGTGTGTGTGTGTGTCTCCGTCTCGCACTTACTTTGTTTCTCTCGGTCTTCATTCGATGAACATTAGTGCTCGGATAAACACCGTCTTGGAGAGCGAAGTCCACAAAACTAACTCACAGGTGATGCACCTGCAATCCTGATTTTTTACTGGTAAACAAGTTGAAACGACAATCGTCTATTAAAACCGCGGGTCGATGTCCTTCGGAGTCACAGTGTTCATTAATCGGATACCCATCCAGTTTGTAGATTACCACGACCGGTAAACGGATTAAGGTACACAACCGAATTACGAAAAACCATGTTGTAAAAAACAAAGTGTAACGTAACCTAGTTATTAAAAAGACTAAAATTAATTATTTTTATTTTTTTAAAGCTTTTTTTTCCTATATATAAATCAACCCACGAATCCCCCAGCACAACCTAGACCCCCCACGGGAATCGTGGGATCGGCGGCGGCTGACATCCCATACCACAAAACCTACGTGAGTCGTAAGAAGGGAGGTTGTGCAGATCAACTCAAAATGTTTCAATAGTAAAACCAAAGTAGACTGGTATCACTGTAAGAGGTAGGAGAAGACCAGTAGATTAGGTTCCCACCCCTTGAAAAAGAGTGTTCCCGTTCAAAGTTAAAAAATTGTCAGGAGGCTCCCGCATTTTAATAAGCTGAGACGACTTTCTATGCTTTTGTGTCGGTCTAAGTAAACCGGAAAAGGAAAGTACGCACGTTTCTTGTCGTTGGAGAATTAGTCTATAAAATGGTACTAGCCGCGTTACCGTAATGCACGCCAACACCGTACTGTGTTTTTGTTCTTTTCATATAGATTCTTATCTCTATCACGTTTACATAAAGCAAAGATAGGTACAACTGCACTAAATATCACCCCCCTGGATTTGAGCGAGACCCCCCCAGGAGGGAGGGCCCTTCTAAAAAAATTACAACTTCAATTTTCGTAGTTAGACCACGTGAAACTCTGTCGTACCATCCTCTAGAATACCTATCTAGAGAGTGTATGTATATTTTCTCTACCTGTCGTCTACATAAAAAGAAATACCTATAAATGTTTAGGGGAAAGTTTACATAAGAACAAATATTATGTTGAAATAATGAGTATATCATCAATATGTACAAATTGAAATAAGGAGAACAAAAATTTGATATTACCTAGTATATTTTACACGGAAATGTGGTGACCACATCTTTTTCGAAGAATATAACGTAATCGTATCATCGAGTGGTCTACGAATTTATTGTTGTTCAAATACTGACATACTAGTTCGTACTGCTCTTGTAAGCGGTGACCCGAAAGTTGATTTCTGTGTCTGTGCTTTGACGCCGACACATGCCTAGGAATACCCATACGCGTTAAAAACCTTCTCACGGCTTCGCTGCAAGACCACGACGTCGACGGCTACGAGGGGACATCTGCTCTTATATGTTGCCTACTGTGCAAATCCGAGCACACACACAAAGTTCCTCGGACGCTCGGAACCGGTCCCT